AACCAGGAAGGGACACAACAAAACAAGAAAAACTACAGACCAACATTTCTTACGAATATAGATGCAGAAATTCTCAACAAAACTCTAGCAAACTAAATTAAGTAGCACATTAAAAAAAAAAAAAAACCAACATGCAGGGCATGGTGGCTCACCCACCATGACAGGGTAATGTAGCCAAGGTGGGTGGATACCCTGAGCTCACAAGTTGAGACCAGCCTGAGCCAGAGTGAGACCTCATCTCTAAAAAACAGCCTGGAATTGTATGCACCTATAGTCCCAGCTAAATGAAGGCTGAGGCGAGAGAATCACTTAAGCCCAAGAGTTTGAGGTTACTGTGAGCTGTGAAGCCAGGGCACTCTACCATGGGTAGCAGTGAGATTCTGTCTCCAAAAAATAAAACTCACCATGATCTGGGATTCATCCTAGGTATGCAAGGATGGTTCCACATATGTAAATCCATAAACTGAAGCAAAAACAGAGATCATACAATCATCTTTAAAGATGCAAAAAAATTTTTTTTGATAAAATTCAGCATTCTCTTATGATAAAATCCCTTAACAAAATAGGTATAGCTGGAACATACCTCAAAATTATAAAAGACATACATGACAGTCCCACAGCCAACACCATACTGAACAGGGAAAAACTGAAAGCATTCCTGCTTACATTCAGAACTAAACAAAGTTGCCCACTGTTCATACTTCTATTCAACACAGTGCTGGAAATCCCAGAGAGAGCAATCAGGCAGGTAGGAGAAGGAAATCAAAGGTATTCAGATAGGGAAAGAGGAGGTCAAACTATCACTCTTTACTAACAATATAATCTTTATGCAGAAAATTCAAAGATTCTGTCAATAAACAGCCGGAATTCATAAATAAATTCAGCAGAGTCTCAGGTTACAAAATCAATATGCACAAATCAGTAGCATTTCTATATACCAACAACGGTAAAGCTGAGAATGAAATCAAAGACTCAATACCTTTCACAATAGCAACAAAGAAAATAAAATACCTAAGAATATGTTTAACCAATGAGATAAAAGATCTCTACAAAAAGAATTGCAAATAACTGAGGTAGGAAATTGCAGAGGATGTAAACAAATCATGCTTACAGATTGGAAGAATAAACATTGTTAAAACATCTATACTACCCTAATTTACAGATTCAGTGCAATACCCATATCAGTGTCATTTCTCATAGATCTTAGAAGAAAAAAATTCTATACTTTGTATGGAACAAAGAGCCCAAATAGCCAAACCTTAAGGAAAAAGAGCAAATCAAGAGGCATCACATTTTTAGACTTCAAGCTACACTACAAGGCTATAGCAACTGAAACAGCATGATGCTTGCACAAAAACAGAAACAGACCACTGAATCAGATATAAAACCATCCTCACACTGCCATCTGATCTTTGACAAAGCAGACAAAAACATACTCTGGTGAAAAGAGTCCCAATTTATTAACCAGTTTGATGAAAATATTTCAAATTACATATAAAACCAGCACATTGTACCCCATAATTGCTCAATGTACACAGCTATGATTTAATTAAAAAAAAAAAAAAAGAGTCCCAATTTAAGAAAGGGTGGTGGGAAAATTGGATAGCTACATGTAGAAGATCGAAATAGGATCATTATCTCTCATCATTCACAAAAATTAATTCAAGATTCATAACAGACTTAAACTTAAGGCATGAAACTATAAGAATTCTAGAAGAAAATGTTGGAAAAACTCTTGTAGATATTAGCCTAGGCCCTGAAAAACTAACACATGGGACTTTATTAAGTTAAAAAGTTTCTGCACAGCCAAGGAAATAATCAATAGAGCAAACAGACAACCTACAGAATGGGAGAAAATATATTTGTATGCTATATATCATCAGATATATAAAGGCTAATAACCAGACTCTATGCAAATCCCAAGCAAATCAGCAAGAAAAATATCAACCCCCTAAAAAAGCAGGCAAAAGACATGAACAGCAGCTTTTCAAAAGAAGAAAAACTAATAGCCAATAAACATATGAAAAAATGCTCAGAATCTTTATCAGGGAAATGCAAATCAAAACCACAATGAGGTATCAGGTAACTCCAGTAAGAATGCCTTTTAACAATGAGTCCCAAAACAACAGATGCTGGCATGGATGTGGAGAGAAAGGAACACTTACACATTGTTGGTGGGTATGGAGATATCTCAAAGAACTAAAAGTAAATGTACCATTTGATCCAGGATACTTACCCAAAGGAAAAAAGAGTCATTTTATCAAAAAGACACTTGTACTAAAATGTTTCTTGCAGCATAATTGCAAAGATGTGCAATCAACCCAAGTGCCCATCAGTACATGAGTGAATTAATAAAAAATATGGTATATTTAATACCATGGAGTACTATGCAGCCATTAAAAAGGTGAACGAATGCCCGTTATATGTATAATAACCTGGATGGAACTAGAGACCATTCTCTTAAGTGAAGTATCACAAGAATGGAAAAACAAACACCACATGTTCTCACTATTAAATTGGAAATAATCAATCCAACACACACATGCACATAGAGAAGTTAAACTCAACAGAAATCAAACAGGTGGGGTGGGGGAAGAATAAGTAAAATCCCATTTAATGGGTATAATGCATATTTATGTAGGTGATGGGCACACTTATAACTTTGATTTGAACTATACAAAAGCAATTCATATAGCCAAAACACATGTGCCCCTGTAATATTCTAAAGAAAAAAAGATCATCAGGAATAAATTAAATACTTAAACAAAACAATAAAGTATGTGAGTGACCAAGTTAAAAATGAAAGTTAGAAGGAAAGAATCAATAACTGGCACGTGGTGAGTGATGATTCCACTGAAAAAAATCATTTGAAAAAAATAAAATAAGGTGATCAAATAAATACTGAATAATTACTGAATCAAAATAATTCCAAAAGGGGAGTTAAGATAATTTTAAGATAATAATTTTATGCAACATCAGTAGCAATGTTAGAATTAAATACATGTTCTTTCATGTACTTTTCCCTGGACTATGTCAAAACTAATTTTTTTAAAAAGACAAGATTTGTGTACATATGTAATACTATTTAATACCATTTTTTCAGTAGCTGCAATGTTGCATCTTAAGCAGATTCAAAAGATAGTTTATCAAGTAATAAATACAGTAAAAATTATCCTACAAATTACTTATATTCTCATAAAGAACAGAGATCACGGCTTTAGTTTTTTTTTGAGACAGAGTCTCATATGTCACCCTTGGTAGAGTGCCGTAGTATCACAGCTCACAGCAACCACAAACTTAAGTAATTCTTTTGCCTCAGCCTCCTGAGTAGTTAGGACTACAGGCGCTTGCCACAACTCTTGGCTATTCTTTTTGTTGCAGTTGTCATTGTTCTTTAGCTGGCCAGGGCCAGGTTCAGACCCCTCACCTGTGGTGCACACGGCTGGAGCCGTAACTACTGTGCACCATGGCTTTAGTTTTTGACCCTGCTCAGAATTCCTATGCATATTAAGGTTTAGTAAACAAAGTTAGCAGAAAAACAGAATTAAGTGCAGTTTCCTGAATATTCAAATTGTCCTGCTTTTGAGATAACTTTCAAATTTCTATCATCAAATGGGAGATGAGTCAGAAAATTCCAAATTGTTTCCGCTTCTTGTGAGACTTACCCATGTTTCAGAACTAAGCCTTTATAGTTTAATATAATCATTCCTCACTAATTGAACTCTTCCTATCCAAACTCAGAAACCAAACATGTAGTGAGCAATAGTTACATTTATTTTATTTTCAAGCATTCAATGGTTAGAAGTTTGGATTTCAGCCTAAATAACATAAAGGCCATAGAGTTTTAAGAAGTCAAGTAACGTCATCTGACCAGGAGGATGATTCTGGTTGCAGTGGTGAGAACAGCCTCAAGGAGGGGCAAAGGCAAAAGTTGGAGATCAGCTAGAAGCTAGGGTGGTAGGGTAGAGGTAAAAGGAAGTGATCAAATTCTTCTTTGAAGGCAGAACCTACAGAACTTATTGATGGGTTCTGCCACCTGTGGCCTTCTGGATCCTTGAGTGCAGCCTTTTGACTGAATCCAAAACTTACAGAATAAATTCTTTTATGAAAAAGGGTGCAGTACAGAACGATAAACAGCCATCTTGAAATCAGAAATCCACAGGTTCCACAGCTCTGGATGGAGTATAGGGAAACAAAGGAGTAATAAAACACATCAAAGTTTTGATGAGATCAACCAGCAAAATGAAAAAGGAAAGGCAAGAGAAAGAACAGGTTTGTCTGGGGCAAGGATGGAATCATGAGTTCAGTAGTAGCTACAATAACTTTGAGGTGCATATTAGAAATCCAAGTAGAGATGTATCAAGTAGCAAATCAATCAGTCCGAATTCAGGGACAGGCTAAAGCTGCATATATAACTTTGGCAACTAATGAAGTTTAGGTAAAAAAGAGATCTAAAGACAGAGTGCCTTGGGGCACTCTTATTTAAAGTAAGGAAAAAATGAGGAAGAAAAAGCTAATGAGAGGGAGAAGGAGTTGCCATCTAGAAGGAGAACAAAGAGAGAGTGGTGTTCTGGAGAAGAGTGATCAACTATGTCAAATGTGGCTAAAAGATAAGAGTCAAATGAGGACTGAGAAACGCTCACTTGATTTGGCAACATGGAGATCACTGTAATTTAGCAAAGACTGATTTTGGTGGAATGCTGGGGGCTCAAAAGCCTTACTGAACTATAAAATCTCAGATTTAAAATACCAGTATTTACTAAATTCTTACACCTTTCTAAAATAAAAAGGTCATCATTTTATAAGTATATTTTCCAATTACCTTGGCATTATACTAGGTATTATGAAGGAAAAGTCCACTTTCAAATAAGGCAACACATATTAAACTGCATTGTAAATCTCTTCCAATACACATACTCAAAAGAACTGGGAAAAATAATTTTAAGACTATTACATATAGTATCTGTGAGGAGGAGATAAAAATAAAAAGAAAATTTTACCATCTGGAGTACTTTTTGAAACCTTTAACGATTTTTCTTGATTTTCTAATATCCTGTCAAATTCATTTAACAAGTTTCTTTTGATTGAAGGTTCTCCTAAAGATAAATTTCCATACATGTTTTTGAAGCAAATATCAGTTTTACCTTTCAAAAGACTATAGTCCACTTTTTAAAACTAAAGTACTAACTCTTACAATATATTAATTACCAAATTACAATAAAATATTAGTAATGCATGTAGTAACACTTATTTAAAAATTCTAGAGGCTAACAGGGTAAGACTAAACCATAACTCAAGCAAGCTATGCATTTCTGTGTTGTAAATCATAATAACTGTAATTTAAATAGTGACCATTCTGGCTGGGTGTGTTCCCTCATGCCTGTAATCCTAGCATTCTGGGAGGCTGAGGTGAGTGAACAGCCTGAGCTCAGGGTTTAGAGACTGGCCTAAAAAAGAGTGAGTGAGACTCTGTCTCTAAAAATAGCCAGGCATTGTGGCGGGCGCCCATAGTCCCAGGTACTTGGGAGGGGAGGCAAGAAGGATCACTTGAGGCTCAAAAGTTTGAGACTGCTGTAAGCTATGATGCCATGGCACTCTACCAAGGGTGACAAAGTGAGACTCTCAAAAAAAAAAAAAAAAGTGACCATTCTACTTTGAATGACAAAATTCATTTTTTAGTATCAATTTAATTTTTATTAATTTTTTTACCATTTAAAAAAATACCACTGTTTAATACTACCTATGTATAAACAGATGTTACCAGATACCACAGATAAACTACTTAGTAAACTGGCACAAAATATAATTCTGGCAATAAAAAAATTTTATATTTGAGGGCGGCAGGCATTAAACTCAAGGAGGACTTTGTTATACAGAACCCTGAATTAGAATAAGACCAAAGTTTTTAAAATTTACCAAATTTCAAAAACATCAGTAATAGTAACACCTGTTATTTAAAAATTCTAGAGGCTAAGATTAAACCATAGTTATGCATTTCTGTGTCAATGCTGAGGTATTTTTCTTTTTGGTGCTTTACTACAGGGAACAAATTTGTAGAATATAATAAGTAAAAATGTCCATGCAGGGCTTTAACAAGTGTTAGATCATTATAAAGTAGTTTAATTGTTTAACAAGGACCTATACTGGTCAAATAACCAGAAGCTGTTAAGTGACATACATAACAGAAATAAGGAAAACTAAAGAGTAACACTGTTGAAAACATTTATAAACTTGATTTTTTTCCCTAGGTAGAAAGTCAACCTATGTCATTATGCATATGAACACAATGGATTGCTATAAACAAAGCTATTATTTTCTACAAAAGAATTATGAATACCTTTAAGCACACACACTTCAAAATTTTACAGTAAAGGACAGCAAAGAGTTTAAGTATTACAAACTTACCTCTTAACTCTACATAGTGACCTGGATAACACTTGATTAAGTACATCTGTATCAACCAGGATCACTTACTGGCAAAAGGCACCAGTAGTAGAATGAATAGACAGGATTCAGGGTCTTTATAATATGGAGGGACAGAGCACAAGTACTTCTGATAACTCAAATAATCTATGAGTTTATAGGATTTTAAAAGGAGGTAGTTCTATAAGATCATCCACTCAGAAGTTGTAGAGTTAGTTTTGGCATTTACTTTAATTATAACTAATCAACAGATTATTTAAGATTATTCCCAGAGACCTGACAGGAAAAACACATACATAACCAAGTAACCTAATACAGTCATGTAACAGCATTTCTGTGAAGACAGAGGACAAATACAATGGTGATCCCATAAGATTATGATACAGTGTTTTTACTGTACCTTTCCTATATTTAGATATACAAACACCATTATGCTACAATTGCCTACAGTATTCATTACTATAACATCTTGTACAACTTAGGGAGTGTTAGGCCTAGGCTAAAGTAGAAAAATAACAGTTAACTCCTGGCAAATTTCTGGGCCGCAAGCCTTCAACAAAATGGAGTAAGTCTGGTTCGCTCCCAAGATAGAGGGAAAGTACTCACTAACTTCTTGCTTAACTAACTCCCCTGAGAAACGGCTTGGGAAGTACCAACTATCCCCAGAATGACCTTTAAGAAATACCAGGTAGGGAAAATATTAAAACAAAGAGGTATGATGTATGGCTAACTGCAAAATTCTGCTTCTGTGCAATGCTTGCTTGCTACCCTACCCAGATGCACCTGGACAGCCTGCATACCAACCAGGATGCAGACCAAGCCTTAAAAACCTGATCCCTTGGCTCTGTGCCTGTGGCTCAAGTGGCTAAGGTGCCAGCCACATACACCTAAGGTGGCGGGTTCGAATCCAGCCTGAGCCCGCCAAAAAACAACAATGATGGCTGTAACCAAAAAATAGCCGGGCATTGTGGGAGGCACTGGTGGTCCCAGCTACTTGGGAGGCTGAGGCAGGAGAATCGCTCAAGCCCAGGAGTTGGAGGTTGCTGTGAGCCGTGATGCCACAGCACTCTACCCAGGGTGACAGCTTGAGGCTCTGTCTCAAAAAAAAAAAAAAAAACAACCTGATCCCTTAAGCACTTGGGGCTGCTCTCAGAAACCCCATGTTGGGACACTGAGGCAGTCGCTGGCCGGCTCTTCAATAAAAAGACTCTGCTTTAAATTTGGCTTGTTTGGCAGTGTAGTCTTTGTGGAACTCCTAGGTATAACAAGCCTAGGAGCAACATGCAGCCCAGGTGTGTAGTGTTCCTACCAGGTTTGTGTAGGTACACTAAGTACGCATTTCTCAGAACTTATCCATGTTAAGCAACATATAACTGTAGTTGAACAAAGCTATTAGATATATACTGAAAAGACAGAATATAACCCAAATAGCATTAAGATCATGATACTACAGTATTTCCTCACAATACTGTTTTCAGAACAACTCCTAGATGAAAAATAGCCAATACTCTACAAATGCTGACTACTATGTGTGTCAAGATCAGTAGTCAGTGCTTGAGATAACACTATTTTGATTCTCATAATTACTGCATGGGAGTAATTTCCCACACATGGGAAGTGTCATTTGTATCTTATAGATAAGGAAATTGAGGCTTAGCCACGTAAGCAGTGTAATTAAGTAGCATATATTACCCAATAAGTGGTATAAAGAGACACCAACTTTTTTTTTTTTTTGCAGTTTTTGGCTGGGGCTAGGTTCGAACCCATCACCTCTGGCATATGGGGCCGGCGCCCTACTCCTTTGAGCCATAGGTGCTGCCCCGAGACACTAACTTTTAAAGTTCATAAAAACCAGAGCCTGAACTTCTAATATATATGCAAAGTTAGTAAGCAAAATATATGCAAAAACAATTAACAAGTTAGTATTATGCAAATTTTGTTAAAATATGATGGTTCCACTTCTCTAGAGAAACTCAAACTTCATAGTAATTTCTCAATTATAACTGTATTAATAATCTCTAAAAATGCATTAAGCATCCCTCAAAACATGACTTCTTGGTATACAGATGCAAGATACTAAGTCAAATCACTAGGCATATAAAAGCTAAAAAAAAAAATATTTCGCTTACAACACTCTAATCACTAGTATACTAAGACTACTAAACAAAAACAATGGACTGGCAAACCAGTAAGTAAAAATAACCACTTACCAAATGAGACATGGTTATCTCCTCTTCTTTTTCCAATTCGTGAATTTAACCAAACTGTTTCCTCATTTTCTTGGCACGTAAAACGAGTGTGTTCAGCATGACTTAATGGTTCAGAATCTGTCAGTTCACCATCTTCCATAAAAGCTTTGGCAATTTCCACTGCTTCTGTTTCAAAGTAGTTTTCTGAATCTTTGTAATAAGTAGAAGAAACTTCTATATTTGTTTTCATAGGAACATCAGGAAAAGTTTCAGTTTTACCTATTCCCATTTTTATGTTTTTAGGTAAAGCTTGTTCTTTTCCCAAGATGTGAATGTTCTCCACAAGTGATACTTTGGTTCCTAAGACCAACTGTTGTTTGTCTTGCTTAAACTGTGACATATATGGAGGAACTTTAATAGAGTGGTTATTCTCTGAAGTGTTACTTTCAATATTAAAGTTATTTAATAATTTAAATTCTGTACTGTAGGCTTTTTTCATTTCAGAGTTCATAGAATATTCTGCAGTTCTCTTATCAACACAAGGAAGAGAAGGGAATTTTGATATACCTGGTCTGGATGTAGGTGGATGCTGAAGAGTACAGTCAGTTTTGATTAAATCAAACTCCTCTAACATTCCCTTAACTTTGTGTAAGGCACTTTCTGAAACTGAAACCTGTTTTCCACTTGCTGTACTAAATCCAGAGAAAGCAGGTGAATTTACCACATTGCATGAAAAGCCTTTTTGGGATATTAACTTTTGTGGGACATGAATTACTTTTTCTTCTCTTGTGAACTGGTCTGAATACTCTTCATTATTTTTAAAGGATACTTTTGAAAAGTGTTGCTTGGCATGCTCTTCTATCTCAGAAAACACCTGTCTTGCCTGTTGTAATGAAGACTCTGATACCTGTATGGATTTTCCACTTGCTGTGCTAAAAATCTCAGGATTTGTAGAAGAGACTAACTCAGGAAACTTTCCTGTATTACATAAACTTGAAGTTTTCAAACTAACATCACATGGTGATAGTGTAGAAACTTTGTCCAATCCAAGCATACTTTGATCACGTAATATATGCACGTTTTGAATGTCAGCAAAAATCTTATGCGAATGCATAGAACTTTCTTCATCAGTAGAGTTAGGAAGACTATCCTCTGAATCATCTAATGTCTTGTAATAATCTGACACAATTCTTGTTTGGCAAGTGCTAGATTTACTTTTAGTGTCCATCTGAATTACCTTACTGCAGTTGTCTGTAAATATTTCTTTTACTTTTTTAATTGTTTCCCGTGAAACATGTACTATTTTACCACTGGCTGTGCTGAATGCAGGTGTTTCTACTTCAAAATTATCTGAATTAGATACAGACAATTTAAAGGCTGTATTTTCATTTGTGCATAGTGAAGAGTTAGTCACAAGTTTCTGAATACAAGTATCTTTGTGTACAGTCTGTGGGTATGCATTTGCTTCTCTTACAGTAGATGTTACTTCAGAAAAATTAATGTTTCTTTCATCTTCAATATTCTTCACCACTGGCTCAATACTAGAATCAGTAGTATTTTTTGAGAGATATCCTGAATCATGAGAACAATAAAAATCAGAATGGTAGGAATAGTTAGACATGCTACTAAAACTTAAATAAGCTGAATCTTGCTTTTCAGGAAGATGATTTTTGCCATTTTCAGTTATAATACTGTTTGAACCACTTCCATGTGAAGGATTTCCTACATAATTCTCAGGGTATTCCTTTGCACATATAACCTTATCGGAATTTATTTCTTCTGGCTGATCACCCAATTCTTCTCTGAGCCATTTTTTTGCTTTAAACAGTGAAGCCTGACTCACAGAAATTTTTCTACCATGCCCTGTGTAAAATGCTAAAGCTGAATTTTCAACAGCTGAATAGGGGGACTGGTTTGTGTAGCAAGTTGCAGGACTTTTTGCTGTTTCTTTTTCTACATTTTCACATACTTTAACTTTCAAGGAGACATTTGGTGTACTGATATTTTCAGACTGTCTATAGAAATGATCACTTAAGGGCTTAGGTAGCACTGCAGTTGGATTAGAAACATGGTTTTCAACATTATCACCTAGAGAATTCATTTCTTCACATTTTGGGACAGTTGTTATTTCAACTGTCTTACATGCTAATACAAGCCCTTCTTTACATGTTCTTTCCCCTCTGTCCTTTTGGATCTTTGCTCTTTGACTGTTCAAACTGATTTTACTAATAGCTTGCTTTTCTTCATCAAAAAGATTTCTTACTTTTTCCAAAGATTCTTTTGCAACTTTAACTTTTTTCCCACTAGCTGTATGAAAACTCAACAGGGTAGCTTGTTTGATCTTTTTGTTTTCACATTCAGGCTGTTGCTGGAGGGTTGATAACTGGTTTTGAGTATCAATTGAAATACTTTCCTTTAATATTTCATTTTTAAACATGTCTATTTCCTCATGACTTAAAATGTCCACTTTGTTCTTACTTATGCCAGACAGTAATTTAGAATTCAAGAAAAAGTTATTTAATTCTTCTTCTGTTTTAGGATCAAAGAAATTTACAACTTTATTTAATGACTCTTTGGAGACTTTGATATTTTTCCCACTTGCAGTCTGAAAAGATATATCAAAAACCTCAAAATCTTTTCTATTTTGGTCCATATGACTAGCATTTAACTGTTCTTTATTCGAAGTATCAACATAACAGGTTTCTTCCTCTTTCACAATTTCCAAACAAGTTAAATCTGACAAACTTGCTTTCATTTGAGTGTTTCCCTCCTTCACAAACTGGCTAGGTAATTTAAAATATACATTATGCTGATCAGTACATGGCAAGTCATTTGCATCTTTATGAATATAAATTGTATCATTTTTACCTGAGTCACTGCTATCAGATTCCCCTAAATTACAAGTTTTTCTATTAGCAGCAACACATTTGTTATCATTTTCAATGATATTTCTCTTACAATTTTCAGTACTTTTGTCAACAAAAGCGTCAGTAGTCATTTCAATATTTTGTAATACTAGTTGGCATTTATTGTTTTTCTCATTTAAATTTGTATTATTATGACTTTCTATCTTAAATGCTGAAACAATAGAATCGTTACATTTACTTGAAGAGAAACTTCTTGGATCTACTTCTGTAGATGTTTCCTCACTAATATTCTCAATATCACCAAACAGTTTCACAGCTTTCTGCAGAGCTTCACTAGAAACATTTAGTTTTTTGCCACGAGCAGAATAAAAGCCTCTAAACTCCACTTCATTTTCACATGTTAAATAACCAGAAGCACTTTTGTTACAGTTGTTTTCTGACAAGCAAGTGAACTTTTGTTTAACTTGAACTGCACCTTCGAATTTCTTGCTGGTTTCTACCTGACCAACAGATGAGACATTAAGATCAACATCTTTCCTTTCCTCAGAAGTGGTATTTAAGAGACTCATCTGGTTTGCAGGCACATCAAATGTGTTACTCTGCATTATGAGGTTTGGTTTTCTAAACTGTGTAAATTCAAACTGACTTCCCGATTCTTCCAGTATAGTAGAAAGTTCTGTAATTTCTGCCTTTTGGCTAGGTGTTAAATTATGATTTGAATTAAAATTTTGCTTCGAAAATAACATCTGAGGAGGTGTCTGATTATTTTCAGAATTAGAAACAAAAGGACTACTCTGTACATACGAAGATACAGTATTAATTGACTCTGAAACAAGCATATGAGGTTTGCTCAGTTTCTTTTGATTCCTTAACTCCAAGGCATTTATACTTTCAACACAAATTAAACTAGCAGGATATTGTTCTTCAATATCTTTGAAAAGCATTTTGCTTTTCTTAATGTTATGTTCAGAGAATTTTATTTCTTTATTTGAAGCTGTTCTGAAGCCACCTCCAAAATTATGATTTGAAATTGGATTTAAGAGTCCTGCCTGTTTGTCCATGCAATCATTTTTGTTTGACTTTTTATCTATAACCAAGGAGGTATCTGGTTTTAAGTCTTGATCTAGAGTCACTTTAAGATGCTGCTTTACACTGTTTCTGTTCTCCTCTGGAAAATCATAAACTGTATCTGACGAGTCCAACTCTTTTGTAATCAACACTTGGACTGCCTGTCTGTCACCTACATCTGCATGTACTACCATGGTAGAGTTCTCGAGAAAGGGTTCTTTCACACAACTAAGGTCTGCCTCAGGAAGTTCCTTAGAATTTCCTAAAATGAGATTATTCCTTCCATTAGTTACTTGACAGACAAAATTCTCATTGTCTTGAAAAAGTTCTTCAGAGTTTGGATTGTCAAGTATTTTTGAAATTAAAGTAGTTTCTTCTTTTTGGATCATTGATAAATTCTTATTTTGGTTGAATTGTACCTTCACTGAAGGTGACGCTGTTATGTAATTTTCAGGGAGTAACGGCTCAGCATTTTTAGAATTTTCATTTAAAGAACATACTTCTTGATTCTTTTCTGCAAAAATATTTTTGGTTAACTCAAAACCAACTTTACAACTTTTACGTCTTTCTTTCTCTGACATTTTATATGACTCTTTCTTGCTGGAAATCACAACAGATTCTGACCAAGGATCCTTGGAGGATAAAGTCAGCGTGCTGGTATTATCATGGTTATATAAAAGACTTTTCTGAGACTGAATGTGCATACCACTACATTCTACTTCTGAATGATGTACTACAGGGTAACATGCTGTAGCCAGGACCTTTTCTTTTATGGCTGAAACATTTTCACTTTTTGGATCATTTTCACATTGTCTTTCCTGCTGGCATGATAGATAATCCATTTCAGAGGTTATAAATGGCTGCAGTTTCTCCTCATTAATTTTTGCTTCTTTATAATCAAAATCTTGAGAGATTACAGGATTATTAGGAGAATTGCTTTTATTATGGCAACATTTCCTCAGAAGTGTCCCACAAGAGCTGGTTAAGGACAGAGCTGGTTCTTCAGAATCATTCTGTAAACAGTTCCTTTTGACAGAAGAATTCAATAAACCTAAAGATAAAAGCAGAAAGTGACAAAGTTAAAAAGACCCTCAATCACATTCACTCATTTTCATTAAGTTAGAAAGGTAGTGTTTAAATCAAGAATTACATGAAAAACAAGAGGGGAATGTCAGATTTAAAAAAAAAAATCAGACAATCTTAAATACTCTATTTTGAAGTCATTACATTTTTAAGCTAAAGATAAACAGGACCTAAATAATTATTTGGCAATATGTATCAACTCAATCCAAATCATCATCTAGTGAAGGAAGCAGTTAACTATCATAAATAAAACTAAAAGTGATTTTTTTT